TAAATCAGATATAATATTTAAAACTGTAATTTTTTGAAATCTCGAATAAATTAATTAAAAATAATATACATTTTTTTTCGCGGTCATATAAAGTACAATATTTCATTTAAATAAATTTAACTTCATAGAAAAATGGAACATTTCTCTCCCGGATTTGTTTTTCTCTTAAAAAAAAAATAGCTCTTTTATCTTTTTTTATTAAAAAGGTCTCTAAAAATATTAAATCGGATTTTTCTATCAAAAATATGTCGTAGATACCGGAAAATTGTCAAATACTTCGCAAAAATGCAATTCAATGCAGTTGTATGGATTGGGTCACATATTGCAGCTTTCACGTGCAGAATTTTAATATTATTTCGGAGAACGTCGCCTAAATATCATATCAGCGCTTAATATTATCAAATGAAAATTATAAACACGATACAATCACTTTATTCAGTTTAAATATAGTAGATTGTTACATATTTTACAATGTTGCTGTTTAAATTATTAATTTAATTTTTCAATATCGTGTCCATATTGTCCATTATAACAAACCACAAAATGTTAGAAAAAAAAATTGAGAATCGTTAAATAATTTACATAAATATCTAGAAAAAAAGCATATAACTTAAGAAATTGATTTTATCGTAGCTTTATTTTTCTTTAAACTACTGTTTCATTATTCGTCATTGCCTGAAAAAAAAAATTTGCGCGCTGTGTGAGTCGATACTCGATTAAAATATTCTCGAAGATATTTGCACGTGAATGTTTGCAGTTGTGCCAAATAGAAAATATCACACATCCTGGCTTCCTTCACAACATTTAAAAACTAAATACTTGGACAATAAACTAGTAAGACTTATATCTCTAACAAATTTTGACATTGTACATTAACTTAATGTAAGAAACTCTAGTATATTCTTCGATAATCCATCAAAGTGCACTATGCTGTGCCAATGTATATTGGAGAAATGAAAGACAATAATTACTCTTAAGAGAAAATTTGTGCGTACAATACTTCTGTGTTCTTAATATGAAAATATACGCCTATATTGCGGTAAAAAAAAAAAAACAAGAAAAACAGAAAAAATCCAAAAAAAAAACAAGAAAAGAGAGGACGAGATTATTTCTGATGTCTTATAAAAAGAAGACGAAATTAAGACGGAATAAAGCTTTTGTGAAAATGATATTGCTAGTTGTACGTACAAGCAATGTTACATCTTAACCCTTAAATGTTTAAATGTTCATTGTAATATACATAATGCGTACGAAAATCAATATAAATGTACCACTTGTCACTATCTTAAACGCAATATCAGTAATGTGATTTTATCGTGCATCTTTAAATATTTTATTCCTGAAAGCCTATTAAAGTATTTATTAAATTTGCAAAGTTTTGTCATTCTCAAGTAACACTGTAGCACTGCAATAACAAATGCTGATCAAACACTTAAGGGTTAAAGAGTGCATTTTAATGACAATAAATGTAAAAGTTTCTTGCAATTCTATAAAAAAATTGAGATCACGTAGAACGACTATTTATGTGGCTTATCCGTAGCTCATGCTGAAGAAATAATCAGCTCTCAGCTTTTGTAGTTCATACAAAAAATATAAATGCGAGAAAAAAACTGGATATATAAATATTATACGTATAATAATTTGATATTAAATGACGTTCTGATCGAAAAAACTTTATACTTATATATTTGAATACCACATATTTATATATGTGAAAATATATTATCATTTACATGTACGCAAACACAAACACATGTGCACAGATATATCTGATAATTTACTGTTTGATTCCCAGATGTTTGATTCCCAGATCTTGTCTTAAGATTTTTGATAAATTTTAATAAATATTAATCGACGAAATAGTAGTACTTTTATTATCTATCATTATTAAAATGTTATGTCTAAATATTAATGACTATATCCATTATAATGACTGTAATTGACTTTATAATCTGTTATAATATATATTCGCGTATAATTTATGTTTCATTGTTTCTTACCAAAAATTTAACAATGTTATTAATTTGAATAGAGAGAGAGAGAGAAAAGTATAATTTATTAATGTGTGATGTTAAAATAAAATTTGATTAATTGTGAAATATAAAATGAAGTATAAAAGAATCTTCTCTTTTTTAAGAATTTAATTTTTAATATATTCATTGAGATATATAGTATTCAAAGATATAGATTTTTAATCAGGGAGAAATAATATTCTCACGTAAAAAAATTTGCTTCAAATTCTGTTTTACAGAGTAAACCCTTTTCACTTTTATATATTCTTTGTGGAGTATTTCATATATTATTCTATACTGATTACAAATGATACAGTTAAGTCAAAAACTAAATATGTCAATTTTCGCTAATTGCTTTGAAATATTTTTCCAACTAAAAATTAAAAAAATAATGCTATCTAATTCTTATTTCTCTATATTATGTGAATCATAATAAATAAAATTTTCATACAACATGAAAAATTAAAATTTGATCGAAAACAATTGATTTAGCTTTGTTTTTCACTTGACTGTAGGGGATAATTTTACAATTGTTAAATAAATTATAAACTATCCAATTGAGAAACATATGGATTCTTGATTCTTCTTTTCTATCGGCGTCTTATTCGTCGTGATTTCACATATACTCTTCAAGAAAGGCTGTTACTTATAGTAGTTGATCATAGATTAACCATTATGTTAAAGTAACGTCGTTTAGGCTGAGGTTTTTAGTTAAGACCCAGTGCCTGATATTACAAACTAGAGACTGGCCGAACAATCTCGAGATTAAGACTCGAACAAGATCCATGCTCTCGTAAATATCTTATTAGTTTTGAGTAATTTATATTTTATATATACTTTGTATTTATAATATAAATATTAAAGACCGATATTTATTAAGTAATTTTTCTTCATATTCTCGTGCTTGCTCTCACGCACGATTTCTCTAGTGACATAAATATTAATAGTTTATTGAAGTTTATACCTTAAAAACAGCAAATAAAAGGATATATGTATAAAAGAGTATGTAACTGTTCGAGTTCTTTCTCTCTGTATGAACTCTTGAAACCTCACAGTGTGTGCTTACCTATATTTTATTATTAGATAGTAAAAATTGCCAAATAATGACAATAAATTAATCATAGGTGATATTTTAAAACAGGAGAGAAGGATAACGTTAAGTACGTTGCATTCTGTAATTAAAATAAAAGACTTGCATATTGTTTAAGATATATAAATGTCACTCCTACATATGCATATATATCTGGCATGCACATGATCCTCGTGCACTTAATTCGATAAATTAACGAGACTATACTTTATCACCGTACTTGACATAGAGAAATATTATGATATTAATTATGTCTATTAATAATTATAGAAGATTTCCAGGAGAAATGACAGAGACAATAATTATGGTAAAATATATTTAATATTAAAGACTTAGAGAGAGGGAGAGAGAGAGAGAGAGAGAGAGAGTTAAGGCAAGAAAAAAGAAAAGGGAAACACATAAAGAGAAACTGAACATATTTAAGATATATATACATTTGCTTATTCCGGCAATTCGACATATCTATCACAAGTGTATTACTAATTTTATCTTCAAGATTTACTTTTTCTGCACCATTTTCTATATATTAAGACAATATTTTATTTATAATATGAATATTATAAAAGATATTTTGCAAACAAGAAATTGAATAGATCTATATCAAAGATGCTTTTTACATACGTGTATTTCGCGTATAACAGCGTATTTTTAGAATATTTTTAATTGTATACACACATCTCTCTCTAGATACAAATTATTGCGATTGTCATTTATATATGCATAAAATATTCAATGAAAAAAGTTAACAAATGTAAGTACATTCGTATACAAAATGCGTATTAAATATAAAAGTGTACTGTAACTATTGACGACAATGCTTACATGTGAACAAGTTATGGCGCTAAACTGACGAACAGATTAATTTAATTTGTAAATTAAAGCGATAGTTGACTATAATGAATGTATAGATTTACATCTAGTCTGAGAGGTTTTATAGTTGTTTCGTTGAAGGTTTTATTAATTATACAGTACACAAAATATCACAGCGATTATGTAAATTCGTTAAATGCTTATGTATTGACTTACCACATTGAAAATATGCTGCGTAAGTTGATAACTAGAATTAATCGAGTAATATATCGAAATGTATAGTTGTAAAAAATTGTGTTTAAAGAATTTAAAGGAACATTATGCATTATATGTAGACGATGCCATCTAATTTAAATATAGGATGTTTCAAGTAACACACATTTTCTGCCGATCACAAAATGATTGCCAAAATTTAAATCAATTTTAACAAAAATTTTATATAAATTCATTATTTTTATACCTTAATTTTCAATATTATTAATCAATAAACCGATGTTAACATTTTCTTGCAATAATAAAACTCGCTTTAAGAATAATAAAATTTGTATTCTACCTACAATTTAATTTTCAGCTTATTATAATTTAAAAAATAGTAATTATATTGAAATAAATATTAAATATATTAAATTTTATCTCTAATATTTCTTTTTCTCTAAATTTCCGTGATGTAAAGAAAATGTGCGATGCTGACAGATTCTGTATACGTATATTACATATTATAGTGAACGTTCCGCACGTGCGTGTACACTCTCTACTGGATTATATTTTATTTTTAAATATAATATATGTCTCTCATCAAAATATTTTATATTTCCCCCCCCCCTACAATCTTCAATTTAATACATTAGGCATGAAATTTTATGTAGTAATCTTTAATGCTCAAATGTGTGCAATATCACCAACTAAATGAATCACAAAATTTATATAAATTCCATACAAAGAATTAAATATATAATCTTTTTCTGCTTTTTTTCTTTAACAAATACTTATCACATCGCGCATTATTTTCTCGGATAAATTAATACTAAAAAATATTGAGGATAGGAGTATTTGTGATTTAGGGATATTGTGAAATCTGGAACGGAAGAGCATGAATAATCTCTGCTCGAGAGTTTTATTTAATCTGCATAGATTTATTTACATTCTGGTAATATAACTTACGACGCAGCGTGATTTGTAAGAATATATATATAATAATAATATATATATATATATATAGATGATAAAGTTTTATATTATTTATAAAATCATCTTGTATCTATATATCCTAATGTATATATCTATACCTCGCATTATTTACAACACCAATTAAAAAAGCTGACTTGTGTGTGTACATTCCCCCTGCAGATATATACAGCATTCTTCTGTTTTTATGTATACTCAAAACAAATAATTGATGATGTGCTATTAAAACACATGATTTCTACACTCTCTTTGAAGAATATATGCAAGGTAATAAACCTCCTTTATAATTTCAAGTATCTCAAACAGGAATGATTTCCTCTTTTTCTTTCTCAAGTTCTATTTGTCATTACTTTATAACTATCTCGAATTTACTTTATTGGATATAACAATCCTATAACAAAACTTTTTCGCATTGCAATTGCAGTTAGCAATGACAAATCTCATAAAGAGATTTTTGTTACTCCTTGACATGAAGTTGAAAACAACAAAAATTATGCAAATTTATATAAAATTCCTATAATGAAAGCGTCAATCTAAAAACTCTGTTCGTATTTTGATTATTGTACTGCAACATGTTGTAAAAACAATATATATATATATATATATATATATATGTATGTATATCGACAAGTGAGTGGAATAAATTACAACAATTTTCAGAAAATTATCTTGCTTTCGTATACGATTATTAAAATCGCATTTATAACAAACGACTCAACACAATATTTATTCTACTACTAGAGCGTATAATTATATACAAACTCATATTTCTATATAAAATCGCAGATATATTTCATCGTACGTCAAAATATTACATAAGCAAATTACTCACCTTGTACTTCACTATATTATATTGCGCAAGTCTGTGCTCCCGGTACACAAGTAAATTACTTACCCTATACTGTAGCTACTAGCGCAAGTCCATGCTCCCAGTTAAAAGAAAAGAATGTATTGGTCAAACGCCGTTGGAAGTAGGCGTGCTGTTTACCGGTGCCCGCAATAAATCATGATATTGTAACAGAGCCTCCCGCAAGGATCTAGACACCTGTCCGGAAGTAGTCGCGATGGTGCATTCTACTAAGCATGGGTATAATCCGATCAGCTGCTCCCACACTGATCTTTCGACTGAAACATAAACGATCGTTTGTTGAATACACATATAATAGAGTGTTAAAAAATATTACTTATATACACTAGAAAATAAAATTATGTACCTTTATTTGGTGGCGCTTTTTTGAGCGACACTACAAGAGTGGCAACGGCTTTAAGAACAAATGATATCTCCGACAATCTGTATCTAGAAAAAGTTTCTATAATAAATACTTAAAATAAGCACTTTAGATATAAAATATATTTTTGAGACAAAAGACGCGCATATTTGTTAAAATAAACTAAAACCATTTACAATTTATTGGTAAGCTTATACTGTTACCTAGGCAACGGGCACTTTCCGCTCCGCCTTTCGCTCTCAATGTATCGTCGCAGCACTTCTTGAAATCTGTGCAGAAGAGCTGTGACCGCCAGTCGCCCGGCGATACCACCCTCATCATTCTCCGAGCTACTTTTAGGATTATTTTCTGCGTCATTGTTTAATCCATCTAATAGAGAAAACTGCAGCAGAGTCTCGAAACAAGTTTTCGCAAACTCTTCCCGTAATTTCGTTTCTGCACCATTCTCTGTGGAAAGAAAAAAAAGCAATTTTTTCACGTTAAACAAATATATTATATTTATATATTATATATATACCAATATTCGCCGCTGTGGTGGCTGAATGTATGGAACCTTTATTTAAAAGCATAACGACTCTTAGTATAAATTGATGAGGTATATGTTGAGAATGTGGTAATACTTCATCCCTCAGTAATTCCATAACCTGACAATCCACCGCCTCGTCGGCCTGGATCTCTTCAACTCCTCGTTCTACGTTCAATACACTGCAATTAACCAAACAAAATCCGTTTTTGACAATCTTTTCGAAATAATCGAACAAAGAAAAGTCGCGGTAAATTCATCAGAATTTACCTTTTAGGGAATAGAAAATCGTCCAGTGTACTTGCGAGCTGCAGCCACATACTCTGGAACTGTTCAGGATACTTTCTGGCGAGTGGCAGACCTGTATGCAGAACAGCTAAAAGACTAGTCACAGCTAACTTCCACGTGGTCGCGGATGGGCATGCATATTTCATGGACAATGGCACGTGCAGCGCTTCCACGATATGCTTCAACACCTGGCCGTCGATCACGGCTATCTCGTGCGCAGTCTTCTGATATAGACTCACGACCATCGACAGAGCCTTTTCACCAAACGGAACGTAATTCATCGTGACCCAATCGGCAGATACGCCTCTAATTTGAGAGATGTGTTTTGTTGGTATTTTACCGTATGTCGGGGCCTCGCACGCCAGCTTCGAAAAACTCAGTAACTGAAGGAATATCATTACAATCATCGTGCGTAAATTATCCGGGCCATTTAACGCTTCTTTTTGTAGGAGCTCCATAGAATGCAGCACTTCGTCTTGCAAGTGAGTGAGAACTACATCGGGAACCGATGGCAATATGTACGGCGTCGATTCGCCATGCACTGGGACGGCCACCGCATTCTTCAGTACAATGCACAATTTTTGCAAATCTGGGCCGGTAAATTTGTTTCTAATATGTTGAAAAACGCCTGGGAATATATGCATCAGCGCGGTCAGGAATGGGCGCAGTGCTCTCCATTCCGATATTGAGCCACACGCGCCAAGTCACTGTCCACAAACCCACCGAATCGTTGGATTGTATCATCTCGGTGTTATCGCTTCCCTTCGGCTGAAAGAGGATCTCTTGAAAGGATTTCAAAGCCGCTAGTGACACCTCGTTATTTTTACTAAGCGCGGAATTTTCGATGAATTCCAAGAGTAATGACCACGCTCTAGGAAAATCCCCCAACATTTGCAATAGTTGACGTTTCGTGTTGAATACTCTGGCCACGCCGCTCAACGTTAAAACCTGCGTTTCCGCCCACTGTTTTTGCGCTGTATTTCTGCTATGGTGAATAAGTATGTTTCCACTAGTGTCGACCTTTTCACTACTAGCTGAATTCGATAAACTTCTCACTTTATCTAACAACGGAAACAATACTTGCCAGAGCACCGCTTGCCACGTAGGTTGATGCAGAAGACTACCATGCGCGGATATCGTGGAGAATAAAGTTTGACTTGCTGACTTGCGTACAGCGGGTCGCGAATCGACGCATAAATCTCCTAGTCTCGCATAGAGACACATCCAGAGTTTGTCAAATGGCGGCATGTTCGTTGTACCAGGAAAATCGGGAAATACCGATGACGAATCTCCGCGCAAGCAAACACACAATTTCTCTTGATTTTGATAAAAGTAGTCGCTTATATTCCACATTAGACCGACGGCTGTGAGCGAAATATTTAGTTCTTGCGTCTGCGATCCAAATTTAGCGGCTGTGTCGACGCATAGCGGAAGGCATCGCCAAGGCATTACCGGTAAAAAGTCCGTTACAACCAGCTGCAAACATTGGAAAGCTATGCGCACCAAAGCTTCCCCATGATGATCGGAAACTGCCCCTATAATACCGAGAACTAAAGGCCAGCCATGATATAACGTCTCTCCAGCACCATGAAGCACTTGTAGGACACACTCCAATTGTCGTTGCCTGACATCTCCGTGACGCACAGATGATAACTCGGACAATGGCCCCAGTAATAACGTTTGCAACTTCTGATTATCACGGAGTGGTTGCGGGTATTTATGCTGAAGAGCCATCTTGACAAGATATGTAATTGCTTCCACACCCCATTCTCTCATGCGAATATGTGGATGCTGACAAACTTCTAATAAGTGGTTCGTTAACGGCCTCCAGAGCACTTCCACACGTGGTAAATTTACTAAACCTGTCTCTAACAGTTTAGCAACGGCAAATAACGAAGGCTCGCGATTAGAATATGCCAACTCCATAGCCTCGTGACTCAACTTACACAAAGCGTCTATCAAATGATGCAGGGCGACATCATCAAGATGCTGACTGCTCTCGAATAATCTGCTAAGCATGGCGCTGAGTACCGGTAAATCTGCCATAACCGCGTTCGTCAATACGGCATTCGGATCAGCTGCTGTTCTTCCAGCTTTCAACGATCCTCCGGTCGAAGGTTTTAAACCGAGTATCCAAACAAGATGTTGAAGAGTGGTGAGTACTAAATGCCATGCACTACCAAGTATACTACCGTGACAATGAGCCAACGATAACAGCGCACGCATGCACTGCAAATTCTTTGCAGTCAACATGACGGGACCTTGATGAGCACCTAAATATAATTAGTATGATAAAAGTGATTAATCAATAGAAAAAGCGAAATATATGCTTAATTTATCGCGCGTATACATGGCACATTATCATCCTACCGATTGGTAAAGACGCCGTCGGTAGCGGCGTACCAACAGCAACTACTTGTTGTCTGTAATCGGGCTCGCCCATTGTCAAATTGTATGCAGCGGAATCCTGCTGTCTTACAGTTGGTATGCCTTGAGGTGCGTTGTATAGTACAGTTAAGGCATAATGAGGCGGCAGCGAGGCCTTACATATCGCAGTTATAAAGGCATCGCGCGGCGGTTGCAAATCCAATTGTCCGCAAAGAGATGCAAACAGTTGGATTGCTTTCAGGACATTCTCCGTTGCTGATTCATCCGTGCTACAAGATACATTCATTATTTCTTATTTTTTGCGTACAACGTAAGATTTACATAAGGCTACCTGGCTGCTACCTGGCATCTATTAACGGGCTAAGAGCTGCCAGTAAACCGCACCAACTAGAATTTATTAATTGTACATGAAGCTTCCGTTCGGATTCACTCGGCTGATAGGTCTGACCTTCAGTACTATCGTCCTTCGACCCATTTATAGCTAGCGCGATCGATCTTATGATGTCTAGTAGACATGCATAGGCTATACTGATTCCATAACCGATAGGTATTTGCGGCGGTTCGACCTTGTCCAGCATTTCCAAACTAAAATAACTGCTGCGTTACCATCTCGATTCTTAAAACCGTATCGAAAACCTTATAAAAAAATATAATAATATAATAATGCTTACTAAGTTGGTTTAGCTTGTCCACTTGTAAATGTTGCTACTACTGGTAACCAAATACCACGCGAATAAAAACCAGGCTGAGGCGATACGCCAGGCCCAATAGGCATTCCCGTGAACAACGGTGAACCTGTGCTTTGAGGCATAGCTGTACTTGTTGCTGTAAAAGAATAAAAAATGGAAACATATACATATATTTTGCATACAAATCCTTTGAAATAAGCCAAAATATTGGAAGGCAAATAACGCTATTAATTTTATAGCTGTTAAACATAAATATAATGCAATACATCTGTACCTGTCTGACTCATCATCTGTGGATTCACAAAGAGGCTATGTACATAAGCACCTAAGCTACTGACAATATCTTGAAAAATATTTGTAGCATGTGGCTTCAAATCATAGCATTCACAAAAGTTTGTCAGCAAGTCTGCTTGCACTGTCATTTTATGCAGAACTTCCAGTGCTAGGGCTCTCTGCCAGGTAGGTTTATCGGGATCCAGAAACTTCACAATTAAGGATAAGAATATTTCACATTCTGTTACCTAAAACATTAGAAACATTCTCACTTTTTAAATTACACTAATATTACATTCACGTATATCACAGTGTAAATTCTGATATATTTACCAGCAAGGAATGGTATTTTTGTATCAAAATTGACACAACTCGCAGAAGCCTCATACTAATAGGAAAATAAGGTTTGTCTAAAGGCGTAGCTTGTTGCAAAGATGCTGGTACTGAATTACGATACTTGATATTAGGCGAAAACAGTTTTATCACAAGTGCACACACTCTT